AGTTCCTCAAGGTATTCAGACAAAAACACTCGATAGTGTTTAGTCTTGCCTCGGGGAATAGTTTTCTTTGCACATCTGTTCATAATATTCATTGCAAAGATTGTCAGGATGTTGGTTGAAGTTGATGAGACTTGTGTGAAGTTCATTCTCTAAAGGGTTTGTGAATCTTGTCGCTGCAAAGTTTGTCAGGATGTTGGTTGAAGTTGAGGGGAAAAAGTTTGTCAGGATATTGGTTGAAGTTGAGGGGACTTGACTGAAGTTCATCCTCTAAAAGGTTTGTGAATCTAGGCGAATGAAATTCATCCTCTAAAAGGTTTGTGAATCTACGCCGTCAGCCTTCTTGAAGTTCCATGATAGCCTAGTTGGCACATTCGTTGTTTCTTGAAGTTCCATGATAGCTTAGTTGGCACTTTCATTGTCTTTTGAAGGTTCCATGATAGCTTAGTTGGCACTTTCCTTGTCATGCTTATGCCCCATGATAGCTTAGTTGGCACTTTCGTTGTCATGCTTTTGTCTTCTTGAAGTTCCATGATAGCTTAGTTGGCACTCTCCATCTCATGCTTTTGCACTGCCGATGGTAATCCAATTATTTTGCGGTGTGTGTGCTCGCTGATGTCGCTTGAAGCCAGGAGTAAGTCAGTAGTTGTTCTGGATCCATTGTAGTGCAAATATGTAGCCGGATTCTCATTGCTATTGTTCTGGATCCATTGTAGTGCAAATATGTAGCCGGATCTTCTTGGTCATTGTAGTGCAAATATGTAGCAGGATCCTCATTGCTATATATAAGTTCTAGAGGGTTGCTGTTTAGCATGTCTTCAATTTCCTTTCCAATTATGTTTATATTCTTATAGCCCAAATGTTGGAATGGGCGTTGAAGTCTTTTAATACCACAGTTTTGTGTGAGATATTCAGAAGATCAAAGTTGGAACTATTCTGGGGTGGATTATAGACTGCGTATATCTTGAAGTGTTTTTGACATTTCCAAACACTTAATCTGATTATTTCGCACATGTCTTGCTTTGAGCCCATACACTTAATTAGATCGTAATATGATTTGAGGCCATTTTTACTCCAGTCAGAATCCCATTTGCAGCTTGCCTGTATTTAGGTAGAAGGTATAAGGTGTAATCAGGGAATTGGTAGTATTTGAGTTTGTCCTTTGGCAGCCCTCCAGAATTGCATTGAAGGATCTGTAGAAGTTGTGATTCGCCCTGACGAGGGCGATTTCTCTTATAGTTTCGTTTCAAGCTAATCATAATAAATTGAAATAAAATGCGGAGCAATAGACTCTTTTGCCCACGTCGCCCACTCACCCCAAATGCGATAGTTTATTTTCTTGAATTTGAGTTAAAAAATTAACGATAGAATGGTAACCATTATGGCTTTCATAGCTAATCCCTGAATGAAAACCAAGAGCACTTTAGTAGGATTATGAAAGGATGGAAATTGTGTTAGCACTTAATCCTTCAATCAATTTCTTTGGCTGTTTTGCCCAAAATGAAATATGAGATTACGAAAAAAGAATGAATCCATACCTCCACCTGTGAAAAGTGCCATCTAGTGCAATTCATACTTAAACACCTCCATCGCTCTTGACAACTACGACAAACAATCGATCACACCTCCGACAGTCCCACATTCCCCCCCCCCCGTTAAAGAGGTGTTTTATTTAAATGCACCCAATTTATGGTTCCGTTCAATTCACTTTTAATTTCCTATTCAAAATAAAACGCGCGAAAAAAACAATTATTTTAATATAAACTTTTCAATTAATAATAAAAGTCACTTATGTACACACAATAGTCAAGAGGGAGAGAGCTAATATTTTAGTCATCCTCGCATTCTTCATCAAGATTAAACGAGAGAGTTCCTCCGGGATTTTCGTTCTTCTTTCTTCTCTCCCTGAGTTTATCGAACTTCTTCCTATCCTCTGAATCCTTCTTTCGCGCGGCCTTATCGTCGTTCACCTTTGACTGCTTAGTCTTGGGTCTACGGAATACTATCTTCCCTAAATTGAGGACAGAATATAAGTAAAATATCACTTACCAAGGAAAATAAGCAGACATCGCATTTTGAGTTAACTCACCTGATTTCTCGGCTTCTATTTCTTCTGGAGTGCCCTCATCCTCAGATTTGTCAGAATCATCTCGCACTTTATTATTTGGATGTTTAACGAGGATCTTTTGAGCATATTCACTGGCTTCTTCTTCGCTTACGCCAACTCCAGCAACAACTTGAGGAGCCTCATCTTCTCTATCACGGAAGTCGTCATCGTTTTCAAGCTGAATTCGACTTCTCATCTACCCATGCAAATCAACTCAACTGCCAATGCTTTTACTACTTATATGGTTTAAAGTAGAATATTACTAACCTTATCTTTTACTGTTGCCTCCGGTTTCATTCCGGATTGCTCCCGGAAACGTTTAATAAAAGCCGGCTCCTCAGCTGGAATGGCTTCAACACGTCGTTTCTTTTAAAGATATCAACAAAAAATCGATTGCTAATGAGTTAATCTAAGTAGAAGAAAAGAAAAAAAGAGCCAAACTGAGCATCACAGATTTACTGCAACTGTCTTAACATAAGGTAAAGAGAAGGAGCGAAGTAATAGGCATTTGATATCAGCCACGATTGGCTCGATTTCCCGAACCCCGCCGATGTTCATCTTTGAATTCGTCGAAACGTTGAGCTTTTGCACGCTGCTCTTCAGAATGAGCATCCTCAAGGGCATCATATCTAGCCATCTTTTCTTCATCCGCTTCTTTGGCTTCAGCAGTATCGGAGGGATCGATTCTATGCCAGGAAGCACCGTTACTACTACTACTACTGTTATTTGTGGAAGTCCTGCTTTTCATTTGCTGTGGTGGTGGCATTAGACCCTGTTTAACCTAAACAAGAGAAAAAAGTGCTAGTTTAATGGATTTAATAGGCTTAAACTTAGAGCTTCCATGAACTCTGGGAGAATACTTATCTTGAGATTACAACGGACTCATAACATCGAAGTTTGTTTCTGTTTTCATCAAATTAATTGATATGTTAATAACACCAGCTGTAAACAAATTAAAACAAAATTTCAATCAGACTCTCGTCCAAATGCAGAAAAAATAGTTATTTAGTGACCTTAAAGTACAACCTCATTCATAATCCGTTTTTATCGATTTTACTCTAATCCAACGTTCTATTTATTTATGTATCCACATTCTTTGGATCACTACGATGCTTACACTTTGATTGATCAGCTGAGTCAGCGAAGTTGCTGAGGCCACAAAAGGCGCAAATAGTTTTAAAGTTCGGTGATCAAGACGCTGGTTATCATTGCAAATCGAAAATAACAACATTTCATTCATTATTGACCTGCACTCCGAGTCAACATAAATTAGACCTTAATAATTAAGGTTTGAACACCAACCAACTGCCACAGCTGGAGGTAATTCCAACACAATCATTCATGTTCCAATATCTCCTAACAACGGACTTGAACCAAGATGATTTGATAATCCCAGGTAAAGCAAATCCTATCTCAAAAACTACATAAGGAGCGGGACTTTCATTCATCCGTAGTTAAGTAATATGAAGTAGCCATAGTACGCTATCGATCGTTTTGAGTTATAAAATATGAGTAAAAAGACTTTTCGTCCTCTAAAGCACTTTATGGAAACCATAAAGGACAAAGAAATGGTAAAGACAACAGAGGAAAGTTAATCAAAACCAAATAATCAGACAAACGGTAAAGCTCCTAAACATTAAAATTTGTGTCAAATACAATGACATCAGCTGCATGAAAGTAGTTAAAGGAAGGAAAAATGACAGAAATATTGAATGTCATTACCGAGATTCATATAATGGCATAAAAACAAAAGCACAGATTATAAGAGCAATAAACTTAGAAATAGGAACTAACAAGAAATTCATTCGACCAGAGTTAAATAAATTGGTAGTAGTGAACATATACTAACCAACATCTATAAAATGTAGTCAGACATGAAATAATTGACGAATAACTTTTAAAACTCGACTCTAAATGTAACTTTTCACAAACTCTTTAAATGAGACACATTCGCACCTGAAGATCGACAAATTGATCCAATGTCATGGTGGGAACACTAGGATAGCCAGCACCAAAAGTTGCCGCCAATATCTTTTCCCTGGTTATAACGAGGGGAGGTTGAGTTGGACCGGAGGGTTTGCGAGGAGGTGGTTGCTGAAGGGTGTTCTGTCCTTGGAATTTTTCTAGTAGTTCCACTTCACTTTTGATTAATCTCAATTCCTCTACTGCTGTAAAAGCCCAGTAGCGAATAAGTCCAATGCTTTCTTCCCTCTGTTAGAAAAAGTAAAAGATGAAGCTGGATGAAGAACTACTTAACTCATATCAACATAAATCACACTCACAAGCATTTCTTCATCAACAGTGGGAGAGTTTAAGGATAGGAACTTCTCAAGTCGTTCGTCTAAGCTCTTCTTCTCTTTATAAGCCTTAATTCTTTCATTACGTTGCTTTTCTGGATCCACTCTAGGTGAACGCAGATAAAATTTCGAAGAAGGCTCATCTCTGAAAAGTACAAAAGAAAATCGGTTGCTCGCTTAAAACTTCGAATTTAAAATTAATCCACATTAGAATACCCAGATGGTTTTTCAAGTTTCGGGAGATCTGGAAAGCCATAGCTCTCGATCGAATCGAAAAATTCATCATAATAAGTCTGGAAAGTAGTAAATTATTTAGCTTTTTACCTGAGTAAGTTTGAGGGAGGTCAAACGTTCATCCCGATCAAATTTCTGACTAGTATAAAATGCGAGAAATGCGGGGAGCGTGAGATACCGGATGGATGAAGTGGAAAGATCATCAAGAGACTCGTTCTTACTAAATAGATCCAGCTGATTAATTCTCCTGATTGCTTCGTCGCATAATGCGCAGCTCTGTTCAATTAAGCCCTTCAAAAAAATTCGTTCGTCAAAACGACAAAGCAATTAAGATTGCATTGTACTTTTAAATACCTTAAAGCCTTCGTTTGATGAAGATATTTCATCTTTCTTTATTTTCAAGTAGTTTTGAAGAATTTTATTGAAAAAATTCGGCAAAGAAGGTTCAGATTGCATATTTTGAGTGCGAAGGCTGCTAAGGTTAAAATGCTCATTGACAATTGGGTTGGCTAAAATGCCATTTTATTAATCAAGGTCAAAAATTCCTATCCCTTAAATATAACCATATTAACAATTTAAAAAAGTAAATTATCCTTAATTTTTTATCATTCTTTTGCAATGCCAACTTTGATGACTAGAAATTGGTATCTTTTGCTATTGACGACTTGTATTGTATGGTGGCTGGAAAACTATCCTCCAAACAGATAATCAAATGCAGAAACAATTGAATTATGTTTATAAAGCCTACTGCAAATACTTCTAAATTGTTTAACTAGAGTCTGTATATAATTTGTTTACTGATATTAGTTAGTTCATGCTATCTAAATAAACTGCTATTTAACATCTCATCTGGTAAATTCAGTCTCCTGCTTTTACCTATATTCTGAAAATCGATGAGCATCGCTATATATCTGTTTTACTTTTCATGCAGTGAGTAGTGAGAACACAATCAATGGCCAAGTTCAATATGCGGCCACCTAGTCAGAAAGAGTATGAACGGATTAAGTTTTGCATTAACTTCGAAATTCACACTGACCCACTAACACACTGCACGCCATACCAACTAAACGTGTTGCACGTCATATTTCTTTTTTTCTCTTTAGCTTTGTTGCAGCTTGGCTAATTCTGGGAGTCGTTGTAAATATGGAAGAAACTGCCTTAGGGTTTTTTTAATATAGTCACGTGCTATTAGTGTAGAAAAAACCCCTATAGAGAAAATACAACATTCGCATATTTATTCCCATTTACTATGATACCTTTATTGTTTTAATGATGCACTATCTCTACCCCTTGAAATAGAACCCCTATTTGATTTCTTTCCACTAAAACGACGATTTTTTCATCTTTAACTTAGTCAAAATCGGATGCAGTGAGCCAACAATATTTCCAGTGCAAACCAAGGCGCAGCGTGATTTCATAAGCTATTGAAGAACCTTTGTAATTTCGGTACTTATGAATTTGTTTTACCTAACCTAAAAATATTCTTTAGACAAATGTTAATTATTGCTTCCAAAATGGGTTTCCATAGAGAGTATGTTAATTAATTGCAGGAAACCAGTGACGGTCCAGTTTTGTGTGTTATTCTATGGCTGCAACCACGCATGTCTTTATGAATTGTGGAGTCATCGACAACTATTCGTAATTTGCTTACTGATATGGTGGCTTCGTGCACACAACCATGCTGTTCTAACGACAAAAGTGACCTGAATTATTCGTTCTCCCTGATCCGATTCACAGTGTCTTGCAAATCTATATTACTCTTACTACAATGGCATTGTAAGAAAGGATGAGGAACTACGGACCCCGGATGCTATCGTGGTATTTTAGCTATTGACCCGATCCATTCATGAATAGCAGGATTTTTTATTATTTAACATCAAGAGTACGAAAACTCAAGCTAACAGATCAGAAATGCCATTTCATTTTTTTGATACCTTCGTTGATTAATAGATACGACAATCCCCAAATTCGATTAACTGAGAGTTTTCAAACGCATGGAGCCAATCATTTCCATGATGACCAAATCTACTCAGCCTATCAATTTGCCATTTGAAATAATCTGCATCTTCACCTCTTCCCATTGGTTGGGAGTTAATTTGGCACAAGATAGAGGCCTCCTATGTGCTTTTCCTACGCAAATGCTTGTTCAACACCTAATAGGATGTAGAAGATCATAGTTTCAGAATTCATTATAGAAAGCGTTCCTTAAGCAACGGCTTAATAAATCGATTTTCTATGCTCACTTCTACAGTACTGCCTAACCAGTAAGCTAGTCAATGGCATAAGTAGGAAGTGAATAAAAGCACACATGACATGATTGTGCTGCCCGGTACTGTCATGATTCTACATCCTGTTGCGTATTGAACCACGAAGATGGCTAGTCATGTAAAAGCTTAACAAAGCGGTTTCTAGCATGCACAGTTATAACTAATCAACATGGGTACAACTTCTTGCACACATGCCAAACTCATTCTTTGGTAACTCCTAAATCCTCGTGGGTCCTATTATACCAATCTTTAACATATTTTCAAAAGGAGATAATAAGCAAAACCTAACCGTGGCTGCAACAAGCTTTGTTTACTGATCCTAAATATGTAGGAAAAGCATATTCAACAGAAGAAATAGACACTATGGTGTGACTCTAGAGAACAATACGTCGGCATTTAACCCAATAGGCAATTTAAGACAATCCGATAAAATTGATGTGTAGAATTGCTAAGCATAAATAATGTACAAACTAAACTTCGCATGTACATGGAATATGTAACATCCTTATTAACAAAGTCACTTTGAATATCACTATACCAAAAGTGGTGGACAAAATTGAGACTTTTGAAAACCATTTAATCATATAAGCAAGAAACATTTAATAATAAACAGGGCATCAAATACAAATACAACCGATATGATACATTTAAAATAAAAGTTGAGACAAGGTATTTACAATAGGTATTTACAATTATGAATAGAGATGACCATGGTCAAAAAATAATCATTTCCTCAGTTGATCCACCAGCACGTAAGTCCAAGACCATCTGCTGCAATGGATCCCTAAGAGTGCAAAAAGCGAATGAGACAAGAATATAATAGGAGCATACCAAGATGACGTAAGGGGATTTAAATCCAAAAGAAGCTAGGGTAGCTTGGTTATCTTTTTCATCAGTCGGATTTGGGTCTTGCCAGATCTCCTGATCCACACGGAATCTGAAGAAATTACACAATCAGAAAAATTTTCAGATACCTGATAGAATCATTCTTTTCAATTCGTAATTCGGCAACTTCTCCCTCGTTTTCATATTGCCAAATCCAACTCTGCTGCTCGAAATCGCTAAATTTGGAGATTAGAGTCATTAAGCACAACAAACAATTTTGAAGGATGCTTCATTTTAGTTGCGGGTATGAAAATGTCGTCGAAGAAGTTAAGGGAAACCTGAATACCTTCTTTGATACAGTTCTTCACACTCCCAATAATTACCTCGTCCACGGACGGACGGAAACAAATCAAACGAAAAGAGGCTAAAATCTAATAGAATTTGGAAATGTATGTTTACCATTAACATGGTATGAGCCATCATCATGTGATACGTACATATCACCAATCGAAGTTATATCCCACACTGATATGCATAGACCAACTTTATATAAAATCTGTATAAACTATTATATTTCAAATATATGACAAACTTTATTTGAGAAACGTGAATTAAGTTCTCGTGTGATGACGTCCTGTAGTTCAAAACCAAATTTCTTGGGTTTAATTATAACAAGATCAGTTATGGGAACAAGACAAAACATCTCGAAGACTGAAAACAAACCTATAATATTAAATAAAACAATAGGTAGAATACCAATAAATGATTAAGCCTGGCAAAGAATGCAAACGTGCCACCTGAGATTTTAAACTGTGCGGCAACACTTAGACCTTGAAAAGGAAGGTAAAAGTCGGCTAGCTGACGACCTACTTTAAAATAAATATTAAAAAGTTTTTAGAAACAAAGCTCAATTCATACAACTAAATCCAGAGTCAATTGAAATTTATTGATTGATTTATTATATTCATTATATATTAAAAAAGCGTGATTACCGCAAATTTATTTTTTAATTTAAGTCGTATGAAAATTCAATACGTTATGCTATTTTTAAAGCTTAGTGATCTAGTAAATATAGAATATTCACTTGTTATTTGACGAAATAAATCAGCAATTACTATTTACGAGCAAAACTGTGGTGTGCGATAGAATTCCCTAACTGCAAACGGCAAAAAGTCTATTAACTGGCAATTGACTTCTCACTTCAAACTTACATGACCACACTCTATGTCATATACGACCACATCAACAATACTTACCTTTTCCGTTTTTCTGCCTTTGCATCTGTCCGTCTCTTTTACTTTTATCAATCGCTCTTCTGTCCCCTCTGTTGGATTTTTCCCGCCATGCTATTTCTTCCCACTGTGAAGCCCGAAGTGAGCTAAAGGATCAATGATAATTGTCAAAATTTCTGTCATTTGAAAAGGATAAATAAATAAGCTTACGTCAAAATCATAATCAATGGCGATTTCATTTAACATACTCATATCCTAACTGTCGCAACGAGAATTCAGAACGCAATTTTATTAATTTTTATATAATAATATTTAATTAAAGTACAGTAGTAAATAACTAAAGTTCGTCCTCAAGGAATCATATTTTGTTTATTGTGTTCACATTACTTAATTTTTGCCAGCTGTCTTCGACTGCAGCTACTATACTGCCAAGTACGTTTTTCTGAGGTCTGGACACGCTGTAAGGTTTTAAGTCTATAAATATAAATCACAAAGCATTATTATTAGGTGATAGTTTTAAGTTCATTAGTTCTAATTATTTTCCTGTTTACTTAAGAAGATGGTGCTAGCAGAACTTGGCAGGAAGATTACTTCTGCCCTTAGAAGCCTTGGAAACGCTACAATAATCAATGAGGATGTATTAAATAGTCTTCTAAAGGAGATTTGCACAGCATTAATTGAGTCGGATGTTAATATTCGTCTGGTCAAACAGCTACGAGAAAATGTGAAAACCACCATTAATTTTGATGAAATCGCAGCTGGTGTGAACAAACGTAAACTGATTGAAAGTGCTGTCTTCAATGAATTGGTCAGAATAGTTGATCCTCAAGTGAAAGCCTGGCAACCGACCAAAGGAAAGAGTAATGTAATCATGCTTGTTGGTTTGCAGGGCAGTGGCAAAACCACAACCGCCACTAAACTTGCCCATCACTACCAGAAAAAGGGCTGGAAAACATCACTCGTCTGCGCAGATACCTATCGTGCTGGTGCCTTTGATCAGTTAAAACAAAATGCAACAAAAGCTAGGATCCCTTATTATGGTTCTTACACTGAACCCGACCCCGCTGTGATTGCTAAAGATGGTGTCAAGCGTTTCCAGGATGAGAGGTTTGAGATTGTTATCGTGGATACCAGTGGCAGACACAAGCAAGAAGAGGCTTTATTTGAGGAGATGCTTCAGGTTTCGAATGCTATCAATCCTGACCATGTAATCTACGTTATGGACGCCTCAATTGGTCAAGCTTGCGAGGCCCAAGCGAGCGCCTTCAAATCGATGGTTGATGTTGCCTCTGTCATTGTCACTAAATTGGATGGCCATGCTAAAGGCGGTGGTGCGTTGAGTGCCGTAGCAGCAACTCATTCTCCAATCATTTTTATTGGTACTGGTGAACATATTGAGGATTTTGAGCCCTTCCGAGTACATCCTTTCGTCAAGAAACTTCTTGGTTTGGGTGATTTAGAAGATCTCTTTGAGAAGGTTCGTCTAATCCTCCGGTTGTTATCTGATTCTCGTTCATTATTAACCCAGTTTTTTTGAAATTTAGGTTAAAGATATGAAGTTCGACGAAAACGAGGAGTTGATCAAAAAACTGAAGCAAGGCGTGTTCACTTTAAGGAGTATGTATGAACAATTCCAAAATATTCTTAAGATTGGACCTCTTTCGGCTGTGTTGTCATCCATTCCTGGTTTGGGACAGGAATTATTTACAAATGATCGGGTAAGCTGTTGTATTTTTAATATAACCTCGTGCTCACCTTTAGCTAAACATTTACTTTTAGCTTCATCTACTGGTTGTTTAGTTAGTAGTATATGGGTTTAACGCTTCGAAAATTTTCCATCCTCCTTGAAATCCGTTTGTCGTTTTGTGTTTAACAATTTCAGTTGCAAATTAATTTGATGTGTTCATATGGACTTCATAAGTTCTAAATAAGGCCCTCGTTAATTTCTGCTTTATTAAGTTAAAATATTTGACTATTCTACTTTTATGTCCTATTGAATGTATGGTCTGTTTATCGAATATATTTGACAAGAATGTTGATTAAGTCTGATTCTGCATGGTTAGATCACTCATATCATTAGAGCTGCTGTATGACAAAATGGCCAAGTTGGGGATTGTAACGAGGTTAATTAGACTAACATCATGTTGTTGCAGAATTATTCATGTCCTGTTTCGACAACTGTGGCAATGATTTTTATTTGCTTTAGGAGAGTCATCGTCGATTGAAGCGTCTGATGACAATCATGGACAGTATGAACGACCATGAGCTTGATTCTGACGACGGTGCTCGTCTGTTCAACCGTCAACCGGGTCGTATTCAGCGAGTAGCTCGAGGTGCAGGTGTAAGCCAGAACGAGGTGAAACAGCTCCTAGTTCAGCACACAAAGTTCGCCCAAGTAGTGAAGAAGATGGGTGGAATCAACGGACTCTTCCAACAGATGCCAACCGGTGGCGGTGGCGCCGGTGGTTCAGGAGCTCAGCCGAGTCTCTCAGACATGGCTGCGGCGGCCCGATCAGTGAATTCTGCTAAGATGGCTCAGTTGCAAGCTTCCATGGCCCGAGTCATGGATCCTCGAGTCCTACAACAGATGGGTGGTACCGCTGGCTTAAATAACGTCTTCCGACAACTCCAATCCGGGAACTTTGGAGGACTGGGGTCGGGAAGTCCATTTGGTTGAATGACTGGGGCTTATTTGTATCTTCCTTCATCCCCATTTCCTCCCTTGATATTATTATATTTAGTATGTATGGCGTGTGTTCTTTTGAGATGGTGAGGATAATAAAGTGGTAATTTTTTAATTTATGAATCCAAGTACTTGGTTTTGATTTCACCTTTTTTTGCTAAATGGGTTTCAAATGGTCTATGGGGGAGAGTTCGAGAGCACCTATTGGAGAGCAAGAGTCTGAGGATTATAATGAGCATTGGTTAGCGCAAAATTGCGTCATCAGTGGTATTATGGCATGCAGGGGTAAATGTGATCTGGTCTGCCTGTGAGATTTTTTGGCTGAGTGCTAAGGTTATAACTATAACTCAGCCACTCTGTACAGGATAACAGTAGATCAGTGGTTGCATAATTAAGATAATGCACTTGCTTAATTTTGCTTGTCGAGAACCGACGTGGATATTGGTGACCCAATAATGTCATCTTGGGGTAAGCGATAGACTTACCTCCACGTGGTGCACCCCACGTGGGCAACGTATTTTCATACGGCAAAAAGTCTATTAGCTAGCAGTTGACTTCCGACTTCAAATTACCATGACCCCACTCTATGTCATATTCGACCCCTTCCAAAGTACTCACCTTACCCTTTCTCTTCCTTTGTGTCTGTCTATCTCTTTTGCATCCTTGAATCACTTTACTGTAACCCCCTCTCGACATTTTCTCACTTTAATGTTTTTTCCTTCTGTGAAGCCCGAAGTCAGATAAAGGACTAATGATAACTATCGTAAAGCCTGCCATTTGAAATAATATAGTAAATAATGTCATCCTGATGAGCATAGGAACCTGGTAATAAAATGTTCTGTGTTGCAAATAGCCATTTATATTGACAAATTGGGAATTTAAGAAACCACATTCAAACCAATCACTAGTTATGTAGTGAATAGTGATCTTTCAAATTATACAGCATGCAAGCGATAATTTGTTTCTATGCACGAACCCCCTGCCAGCGCCATCAGGTTGGCTAAGAAGAGGAAGCCTCGTTGCACTTTTGCTTGGGTGAATGTGGGGAGGGGGGCTTTCCCTATTACCTTTATTTACATCAATATCCACTTTTCTCATAGTATATGTTTTGAACTGAGTAATAAATATTTCCTTGCGCATATTTAGTAACTCTGGTGGAGGACCGTAGCGATTCTGCCGTGTAAATTGATAGTTAAACGTGAGCGTAGAGGCGAAGGACTACTCCCCAACCATCTAGTAGCTGGTTCCCTCCGAAGTTTCCTTCAGGATAGCTGGCGCTCATTGGTATAATCAGTTTTATCCGATATAGAGAATGATTTGAGGTTCTGGGTTTGAGGCGGATTCATCCCATTCTCAAACTTTAATAGGTTGAGATGCTCGACTCGCTTATGTTCGCGTTTGACATAACTGCGCGGATGTAATTGCCAAGTGGCGCTGTGGGATGAACCAAACGTGTGGTTAAAGTGTCTAATGCTGTCGCGGTTCCAAGCGATCCGTGACTCTGTACAGTGTCGTGGGTTGCCTCATACGCTTTTGTGTGTGAGCGTATGTACTGGCGGCCCCTCGGAGCAAAAGAGAATCGTGTTAATATTCCTGACTCTATGCTTGCATCGACGCCTGCACCCCTTGGTGAGCGCTTGAGTATGAATTACTGACATCATCGAGTGCGGCAACGCAAGCGAACTCGGTGACGTCGCCAAGTGTTCCGGAAAGAGTTTTCATTTCTTTGTAAGGACATCTACCACTCCTGGAATCGGGTTGTCCAGAGATAGGGGTCTCGCCTCCGTAAAGCACGAGCCCTCTTGTGATGTCCGGTAAACTCTTGCGATTTTCGTGGCAGGCCGTACTCATATCCGCATCAGGTCTCCAAGGTGTAGAGCCTCTGGCACTAGAACAATGCAGGTAAGGGAGGTAGGCATATTTGATCCGTAAACTCGGGAAAAGAAGTGGCTCTGAGGGCTGAGTTAAACAGGCTGAGGCAGAAAAAACTTGCCTGCTTAACTCGCGGCTGGTTCGAGTGTTAGTTCTTACCTTCTGACGTTGCTGTTTCACGCATTGTCTACTCGTTAGGTGGTGTTATTAACAGCAGCGGCGGCGGAGAGTTATGCGCTCAAACTGAAAGGAGGCAGCTATTACACTCCGAGGCATTGAGTTCTATCCCCACTGGAGGTAAAGATTTGGGGCCTTTAAGTCGCATTAATTCATCTCACTTATCTTAATGCGTACTTATGCTGTTAACTCTCAGGCTTAGGAGTCGCAATGTGCATGCGCATCTATTTTGCCCACTCGTTCATTCACTTTTAGTACCAACTATTACTCTGCTCATTAATAATGATTGAACTACTGCTACTCTAATGACTGCCATAATTCGTATACGTAAATAAGCTTATACGTGGGTGCAACATGGCACAATACCAAGTTTACGCATTATTTCCGTGCAGCGACTTCATGAAGAATTACTGTATTAGGCGAGATTGATTTGATCTTGGTATTACCTTTATTTGCTCTGTTCCAGATAAGAAGTGAATACTGTTCCTTCATAGTACGATGCATGCATACGATAACTTGGCATGCATCCTGCTTTCTCAATTTCAATCAACGCTTTACTTTCAGTACGTCTTCCTCCCTCCAAGCCATTGAGATTGGAGAAGTCCGGAGCCTTTCCACTTAGGAGAATCTACTGTGGAGATTTCTGAGTAATGACCTCCCACCCCATGTTGCTCTCCATCGTTCTTGATCAAGCGTATTTGAAGGTCTTCAGGAAGATTTATACCTTATCGAAATTGGGTTAGAGATTTATTTATTTCACTAATTTGTACAATACTAACACGTGTGGAGCTGAACGAAGCTCTAATTTTCTGTCAAGTATTATCAAATGGCAGGCGTTGTGAAAGTTATCATTAGCCCTTTGGTTGACTTCCTGCTTTAAAGAGGAGGAGGAACATCAAAGTGAAAAAAGTCAAGAGGAGGGGGTGGAACAGAAGAGTTTCAAAGATGTAAAAGACAGACACAAAAGTGGAAAAAAGTGAGGTGAGTACTGT